TGCCCAGGGTCGCCCGGTAGCACCCTGACAGCCCTAGCCGCGCCCGAGCCGCGCGAGTAGTGTCTGGCCACGTCCGTTCTCGCGCCAGTCGCACTCGGGTCGTGCCAGCCGCACGCCCAGTGCCCAGTCAACCCGGGTACGCGCCAGTTCCCGCGTCCCTCGTGCTCAACCGTGCCCAGCAGCACGCCAGCACACCCAGTGACTCTCGGTCGTGCCCAACCGCACCTAGTGGCACCAGTCGTGCCAGGGCCCGTGCCAGCCGCACAGCCCGCGCCCAGCAGCGCCTAGTACCGTGCCCGGTCGCACCCAGCTAGTGCCCAGCGCCGTGCCATGGCCCCAGCAGGCCCGGCACGGGATCGAGCCCGGCCAGTCCGAGCAACCCGTGACCAACCGGTCCGGTGTGACCTGGTGGTCCAACCGGGTCCGGTCCAGCCCGATCCGGTTCAGCCAGTTAGCGAACCGGCCGGTTTAGCCGGCGGTTCGAGTCCGTTTTGGTTCGTGATTTTCGGTCCGAGTCTTATTCCAAAATTTAAGTATTTTTCTGAGCCAAACTAGATCAGTTAAGCATATCAGTATAATTTCCGGACTTAAAATTATTTCTGTGAACCCTTAGAGCGTTCCTTTATATCCGGATGAGTAATCTGATAGAGTAGAGCATCCTAGCATATTTTTGAGCATATGACGAGCATAGTACTTAGTATATTTGTTTGTTTATATTTTTATGTAGCTTGAGGAGTCAGCTACCAGCACAGCCGCACTTACTCATTGACCGAACTACCTCCTCATGTTTAAGATATAACATCTGTCAATTAATTTAATTGCTGACAATTAAATTAAATTGACTTCTTCATTTATGAAATTAGTACCACTCAGTTCATTAATAATTATGCCGAATAATTATCCACCTGCAGGGTTTGACATAATATTCCTTCCTGAGCTCATTTCGGGGATGTCATCAACCCAGCGCACTGGGACATAGTGACTGTAAATAATTTCTAACGGCACACTATATAAATATTCTTACTTAGCAAAATAGAGAGTATGTCATCCTAACAGAATAGGAATCACCCTTACTAAATCAAATAAATAAGTAATAAATATATATGCCCATTTTACATTATCTTACATCTTAAGAGAACGCATCAATAACTGAAGGTCTAGATTATAACAACGACCAGTAAATCTTATAATCTTATCCTTCCGCGGTCTGTTCAATATTTATCATAAGTACTAGTGTAATCCATCAGTTAAAGATCAACTTAATCAAGACTACACTACAGTCTTTTTCCAACAGGGATCTCACTGCTTGTCTAAACTGTGAACAATAAATTTAAATTTTACAAGGAACCGATAATATGATCTTTCTGTTCGACACGACGAACCATATTATCTATAGTGTAAAATAATGGAGTTATGATTGCATAAATAAATAAACTGCAAACATAAATACTTTGACTAAAACACGACTACCAGATCAAAATGGTATTATTAATATTTGAAACCCAAACTTTTACAACATATCTAACACTGGGACCTGTCAAATGGGATGGGATTGACACTGAGACATGCTCTTTCAGAGAATGGTGGACATATATCTGCTCAACAGGGAGGGATGCTGAAGACAAAATTCAATTATCCACCTACCTACTATAGTGGCCGTGGAAAACCCACAACATGTGACTCTTTCAAAAAGAAAGGATACCGAGCATCTGCTCATAAAGGGTGCAATAAGAGAATGGACATAATTCTCTGGGCTGACAGTCTCTAGAAGATGGCAGAAGATGAGGGTGTAGCAGGTTTTGCTTTTGTTGGTCTGTCATTTGGTCCAGTGTTAGTTTGGTGTGCAGTGGGTTGTTGTGTAGTGTAGATTTGTTTAGTTCGTGTTGTGGTAGCTTTCTTTGTGTTTTCAGTATGTTTAGGTATTGCAGGGTAGCTGAGTTTGTTGTTAAGGTTTGGCCAGGTCCTTTGGACAGTAGCTGTTTGGTTTTCTCCTGAATTGGTTTAGTAGACTAAGGTCCCGGGTGGATCCTGCCTTAGCTACGGTTTGTGGTTTGAGTCTTTAGGCCGCCTCTGTGCGTGTCCTCCCATTTTCTTTAGTTGGTGAGTTGGGTCGTTGCCTGTTTGTATTTGAACTTTGTATTGGCATTTTATGTTATAATATCCCTATCGTTTNNNNAAAAGAGACAGTGGACTCACTGAATTGCAAGATTAACATAAACACCACACACAATAGCTACAAGTCGTAGATATACATGCAACGACAATGAATCGATACATGGAGTCGTATAAACTTTTTAATAATTGGGAAATATGAATCGGACTGGTGAAAATAGATTATTTCTGTATGACTTTCTCCAGCCGATCACTGACAAGTTTAGGTATATATATGATATTCTCACCAATATACCTAATTTTTTGATAATTTTTGAAATCATACATGCAAAATCAGCTGTTGTTTGGTGTCAATTTCTACAGTGACGAGTCAACAATACTACCGAAAAAAGGGAAATACTTTTTTATGCAATTTATAAATAAAACAAGGACAAATAGGTGCTGAAAAGCACTTTAGAAAAAATCAATTTTTTTCTGATACTATATTATACAATCGCTATAACACAAGAAAACCAGCATTACCTTCTCAGACATTACAAGTTTACAACCTACAACAGTTTAACAAATAAATGTCTAAGTTAGATAAAATAAACAAAACCTCTTTAGTTTTGGGGAAAGAGATGAATATAAACTGAACAGCAAGAGTACAATGCAAGGGTTCACTATGTGGTTTCAATAGTATGCTAGGGACTAGAGATGCACATGTATGAATTAAATATAGCCATAAATTCAACATAATTCCTTTAAAAAATGAAAGACATTGAAGATCACGAGGACCATCAAAGTTGAGTTTGGCTTTGAATGACTTGTTTACAATGCTCCTGGAACTTATGTAGATCTTCTCTGGCTAACCTGCATGTTCCCTACATGTTTAACAGCTTTTTCAGCATGCTGAATCCCGGATCTTGCAGATGAGACTTTCTTCCCGGTTTCCACTTCATGAAGTTGTCCCGTACTTTCAAAACAAACTGAAAACATTGAAAAGGAAAAGTTAAAGAAGTCGTACAAATAAAAAGATGTTCTGATATAAATTTTATTTGTTCTTCTATAGTGAGATATGGATCAAGCACCACAAGCACACATCTCAAAATATTGCATGAAAAACAACAATAATCTCAATGTCTCCACTGAAAATAAAATTTTGTTTTCTTCTTATGCAATGGAAAAGCAATCTTCTCAGCCCAAAAATATGCCATATTCAACATTATCAAAAGCAAGTCCCCTCATCATTAAAGTGTTATTGATAAACGGTATATGGTTCTTGAATTTCGATAATGCATACAATATCTTTTATACCATAATTGAAATCAGTGTGTTTCACTTACTATATTGGTCAGCATCATTCTACATGTCATCATCTGATTTCATTGCCGAGCGTAACAACTCTTGAGCAGAAGGAGAGATTGCCTGCAATCTTGAAACATTAAACCTAAAATAGATTGCGAATTTATATGTAAAACAACACTTTTTTTTTCTCAAACGATAGATTTTATTGAAAAACACACAGATACAAACTAGAAACAGCGAATCCGCTGAGAAACCAGCCAATTAGCTGAAACTAGGAGGGAGAACTACACAAAGTGTAGTCTATAACCTACCTACACAACAACAAAACACAACACAAGAACACACCAAACTCCCACCGGAGGAGAAGGAACTCCCACAAGAGGAGAGGAAAACTCCCACAAGGGGAGAGGGAAACTCCCACAAGAGGAAAAGCTCCCAACTGGGAGAACCAAAAAATACTAACCTACCACAAACAATCACAATACAACACACTACAAACATAAACAAACAACAAAAGCTAAAACACAAACAAACAACAACAAGGCTAACACGAGAGAAAACGACGCCCTCCCCACCGGACACTCAACACAGCACCAACACGACCCAACCAAACATCGATACGCGACCTTCCTAGAGGGAGCCCCACGGCCACACCGGTCCCCATCTGAAGCCTCCTCCCGGACTCGCAACTCAATCCAGGTCAGTCCACTACCACAGCCCCCCCACGCATACTCCGGGGCCGATGTACAACCAGCCACCGCCGCCAGAGGTCCCGACCTACCCAACACCAGAGGAGATCGGGAGAGGAGCAGACCAAGGCCGGACCACCACCACAAGCCTCCATGGACGCTCACAGTACCCGCCGGCCACCGCAACTGGAGACCCCGCCTTGAGCTCGCCCGCCCTGGCGCTTCGGAACAAGAGCGGAACCATGACGGGGAGGAAGAGGCGAGCGACAACCCAGCCCGTGCCGACGAACCTGGTCCGAGTCCGATGCTGGCCAATCGCGCTTTAACTGTGTCCGCCGGAGGGGAGGCTCATCTCAAGAAGACGAAGTCTAGGTCACGGCCGATGAGAATTGGGGATTTTTCAAATTGTAGAGAGAGAATTTTTTTTTTTCAATACAAAACCGTTATGTAAAACAACACTTCAAAGAAGAAAATTGTTTCTAACCTTTTGTGAAGAAAGAAGCCTTTCTGCAGGCCAATGTGGTTCTATTGTTGAATCCATATTCATGCAATTTTTGTTATTATGAGAAGACTGCGATTTTTCATTAGTGATGATTAGAGATTCCAAAGCTTGCATCTCATCCTTTAATAAATCATCCACATTAGTTCTGCAACTCAAGCCATTTTCTACCATGCCATCCAGGGTACAAGTTACTGGGTGCTGCTCGTCAGGTGGAGTCATTGGAACTAATGTGTCATCAGAATTTTGAGAAGGGTGGCTGCTCTTATTCAGGTTACTCAAAAAATAATCTTGCTTGTCTGGCAAACCTACACTATATTTGTCATCAAATTATCAATATTTTGCACTCGAGAACTACAATTTTGCCTAGATATTTCTTCCAGCACCTCATGGTAGAGCAATTCCCTATTTTCCAAAGTACACGAGAACTACATTAAGATTGGGTTCATTTTCAATTGAACTCTCATTTGAATATACCAGTGTAGAGTGTCTGTCAGGAATTCCATATTTTCGGTTCTTCTTAAGGAACCTTTTTCTAAGCTGCTTTAGTGTGGTGTCATCATCCAATCCACTGTTCAAACCATTGTCAGAATAGGGAGCAGACTTACCATTTTCATTTTTTATATCCCTTAGTGCTGTATGCACTTCTGTATATGTCTGCTTAGAATGCTAATCACTATGACTAGATTTCTTTTTCCGCTTTAGGAATCTATTTTTAAGCTGTCTCAATGTCGTAGTATCATCCAAATCATTGTCCAGAACATTGGAATCAGGATTAGACTCATCTGTTTCTGCTTTTATTTCCAGTAAAGTTCGATCAACCACAGGGAAATCGGCAAGCATATTGCTAGATCTAATTGCAGAATGTTCATATTGAGAACTTGAATGACAATGTTGTATAAATAACTGATAAAAGGCAAATTAAAAACGAGTTTCAACATATATACGTATTAAGAATTTATAAATAGAAATCACAAACATAACCACGAGAGCGTGAGATGAAACCAGATTTTTATTAGTAAATAAAGTAAATTTATTATAAAAATAAAACTTAACTGATAGTTCTATATTGTCATAGAACACGAATAGTCGAATCACAAAAAATTTGTTTGCCTTGAAGAAACAGACGCCCCGATACTGTGCAACGAGTACTACGCCTTTTCTCCCAGGATAAGACGACTCAAAGTATGAAGACTGCACTATCTAACACACTCACCTCGATCAAAATCTCAGTCGCCAAGAACCCTTAATCTTTCCAAGTCTTTGGAGGATAAAATAGAATATATGTAGATGTTCCTTTTCTTTTCCTTAACTTGGTCGAGGTGTCCTTACCGTATGCTTGCATACACTTTTTATAGTGCTTCTAAGACAAGCATGCATTCAATGAAGATGAGATGTCTTAATGCCTTCATTAAGACAAAAGTAATGAAACTTTGACTTTCATTCTAACATCTCAAAACTGAACATGATTAAGTTTTTCTCACAATGAATTTGTACGTCTCCACATGTAACATTAAATACACCCCTTTATCTAAGCATTCACACAGTATACATTTTCTAATTTTGCATGTGACTTTTATTACAATAGACAATCCCACCTTTTATACCGTGAATAAAATGTTCATGTCCGTATCTCCTTAATTCCATGACGATCGAGAAACTAAAAGTTTCCCTCTTTTTTCTCAACATACTTAAAGCAGCACAAATGATGATAGCCTAACAATGGAGACGAGCAAAACATTACAAAGGAAATGTAGGTTGTTATTGCTTTCTCATGAAAGCAGCTAGGAAACTTCTTTTACACAAATCTAAACGATGGAAGCAGAAAAGAAGACCCCCCCATACAACAGAAGCAAGTAGACTTATTTTTTGAGCAATGTATAAACATATTAATCATGAAAATATAGGTATATATAACATAAGTATCCTCGGGTAAACTGTTGTGCTATCATCCCAAGTCTATACTCATAATTGAGAGAAAAAAAAGTTTCTATTACTTACAAGAATAAAAACAAGAGATTTACAAACTCTAACAAAAAAACTCTCAAACTCTTCCACAACTCTTCTTGGTTGTGTTTCAACACTCTCAAGGTTGATTGATTACACTCTAGGATGATTTAAATTAATGAAATAAGAAGCCTATTTATAGGCAAGATTGAGCACACCTTTATTGACAAGGTGTGTGAAAGAGCAAGGTTGGTGGATGGAAGAAATTCTTCATTTGTGTGCTACAATTTGCATGGAACTTTCATAGCTAGCCATTGATGACTTTTGGTTGTTGCATGGAACTTTCAATTCTCCTCTTTCCATGCAAGTTCTGAACAAGCATTCCTACTATGTCTCTGCATAGCTTAAGTTTATCCAGTGTAACCACTTTTGTCAACATATCTGATGGATTCTCCGTCGTATTGATCATCACTAGTTTCAACAGCTGTTGATCAATCTTCTCGCGTATCCAGTGATACCGAACATCAATATGCTTTGTGCGGGCATGATACATAGAGTTCTTGCTTAATTCAATAGCACTTTGACTATCACAATATACCTTATACTCTTTCTGCTTGATCCCAAGTTCATGAAGATAGCGTTTTAGCCACAACATTTCTTTACCAGCTTCAGCGGCAACAATATATTCAGCTTCTGTTGTGGATAAAGCAACACACTTCTGCAATCTTGATTGCCAAAAAATGGCTCCCCCTGTAAAAGTGTAGACATAACCCGAAGTAGACTTTCGACAATCAATATCTCCGGCCATATCAGCATCAGTATATCCTTCCAAGGTTGAATCAGCTCCTCCGTAACAAAGACATAACTTAGAAGCACCATTCAAGTATCTGAGAATCCATTTGACTGCCTCTCAATGCTCTTTCCCGGGGTTAGAAAGAAAACGACTCACTACACCCACGGCATGAGCAATATCTGGCCTGGTACATACCATTGCATACATCAAACTTCCAACTGCTGAAGAGTATGGCACTGCAGACATTTCCCCTATCTCTTACTTGGATGTGGGACATGATCGTTTGCTCAAATTGAAATGATTGCAAGTGGAATGCCCACTGGTTTGGCATCACTCATATTGAAACTTTCAAGTATTCGTTCAATGTACTTCTCTTGAGATAGCCATAACTTGTCGTTCTCTCGGTCTTGAGTAATCTGCATCCCAAGAATCTGTTGAGCCTTTCTTAAATCTTTCATATCAAAAGACTTGGAAAGTTGTTTTTTCAGCTGACTTATCTTCTCTGCATTATTCCCAACGATCAACATGTCGTCAACGTACAGTAGAAGAACTATGAAAGCTCCGTTTGAGTATCTCTTGATGTAAACACACTCATCTGCAGTAGTCTTCTTGTAACCTTGAGTCTGCATGCATGAGTCAAACTTCTTATTCCACTGCCTTGGAGCTTGCTTCAGACCATACAAGCTTTTAGATAGCTAGCACACGAGGTTCTCACTTGAAACCTCAAAACCTTCTGGCTGCTGCATATAGATTTCTTCTTTCAAATCTTCGTGAAGAAAAGCTGTCTTCACATCCATCTGTTCAAGCTCCAAATTCATAGTTGCTACCAAGCCAAGTATGACTCGAATTGAGGTCATCTCGACAACTGGTGCAAAGATCTCGTCAAAATCAATCCCTTTCTTCTATTGAAAGCCTTTGACAACTAATCGAGCTTTGTGTTTCACCACTTGTCCATTTGCATCTTTCTTCAACTTGAACACCCATTTGTTTTTTAAAACCTTTTTCCCTTTTGGAAGTTTAACAATCTCATAAGTTTGATTTCTCTACAGAGGATTTAACTCTTCCTGCATTGCAATCAACCATTTTTCTTTATCCTTATGAGATATGGCTTCTTGAAAACTCTCTGGTTCTCCATCTTCTGTCAATAGAAGGTATTAAGATGATGAGTACCTTTTTGATGGTATATGACCTCGTTCAGATCTACGAGTGGGTAGAACCATCTGAGAAGTACTTCCAACGTTGGTGTCTGGCAAAATGGGTTGTGGCTCTTCTTGCTCTGGCAAGATGGGTTGTTGCTCCCCTTGCTCTGCATTCTCGTCTGTCTCCTCCTCTTCTTCTGGTACATCATCTTCATTGTTTCTTCAGAACAATTCTGGTGCTTCATCTGAAACTTGAGCACCCACATTTGACTTTTGAGACATTTTGGGCTTTTCCATGTCTTCTATTGTCAAATTTTCTTGGAACACAACATCACTACTTCTGATCATCTTTTTCTCCTTTGGATCCCAAAATCTGTATCCAAACTCTTCATCTCCATAACAAATGAAAATGCATGGGATGGACCTCGCATCGATCTTTTTACTGAGCTCTTTGGATACATGTGCATATGCTACACAACCAAATACTCTGAGATGTGAGTATGTCGGATCCTTACCAGTCCATATTCTCTCTGAAACTTCAAAATTTAATGGAACTGAAGGTGATCGGTTGATTAGATAACATGCGGTCTTGACAGCTTCTCCCCAAAATGGCTTTGGTAATTTAGCCATATTCATCATGCTTCAGACACTCCATGATAGTCCGATTCATTCTTTCAGCAACGCCGTTGTGTTGAGGGGTACGTGGTACTGACTTCTCATGTCCAATGCCACATGTCCTGCAATATGCATTTAACTCCTTAGAAGTATACTCGCCTCCATTATCTGATCGAAGACATTTCAGCTTCTTTCCTGTTTCACGTTCCACCATGACGTGAAATGACTTGAAGTACTCGAACACCTAGTCCTTTGTATTCATGAAATATACCAACACCTTTCGAGAAGCATCATCAATGAAAGTCAAAAAATATTTGCTTCCACCTAGTGATTCAACTTCCATGGCAACGCAAACATCAGAGTTTACCAAGCTTAACAACTCTGATCTCTTTGTGAATTTGCATTGAATGAGACTTTATGCTTCTTGCCGAACATGCAATGACTGCAAGAACTCAACGCAGCACTCTTATCAACCTTGATAAGATCCTTCTTTATCAGGGTAGTCAACCCTTTCTCACTCATATGGCCAAGTCTCTGGTGCCATAGATCTTGGGAAGCCTCTTCTGCAACATTGAGACTTTCTGTACCAATCTTCAAATGTGTTTTGTCCCACAAACATGTCCTCGGGCAATTTTCAGAACACCCTTTGACAACTTCTATGTGCCTGCACCAAAGTGATTTTTGTATCCTTCTTTGTCAAGAGCCACCACTGACAAAAGATTTAGCCTGAGATAAGGCACATGTCTAACATCCTTTAATAGGATTGTACTCTTAGTTCCTGCCGTTGCCTGGATATCACCAATTGCAACAATATTAGAGGAACTGGAGTTTCCCATCTTCACTGATCCAAAGTCTCCAGCTTGGTATGTTGTGAAGTATTTCCTGTTGGGAGTAACGTGATAGGATGCTGCAGTATCTACCACCCATTCCATGTCTTCTCTTGAGACATAAACGCATGTCTCTTTACAGCTGAGAAAGTCCTCCATTCGAGGTTTCCACAGTGTATAGTTGGTAGCCGTGAGCATAATCATAACTCTAGAAGATGAAGTTGACTCTTCCATGGCCATTTTACACCTTCAATGATTTGTTTGGGACAAATCGGAGTTGTATTTTGAAAAATAAACAGCACCGTTGTGTCCGGAACAGTCGAAAATGAGGGAGGGGGTGTTTTTTTTGTTTTTTTTTTCAGAACTTCAGAAGGCTATATCTCTCAGCTCCGATGTCCGTTTTTCGCCCGTAAGATACCGCCGTGACCGTCTCGACAAGACGAATCTAACGGTCTCCTTGGAATTAAATTTCGAGCACAACTCAGAAACTCGAAATTTCTACAGAAGCATGAAATTCAAGCTCGAAAGCTTCAAACCAAGCTCTGATACCACTTATTGTGGTATCATCCCAAGATCATACACATAATTGAGAGAAAAATAAGTTTCTATTACTCACAAGAATAAAAACAAGAAATTTACAAACTCTAACAAAAAAACTCTCAAACTCTCCCACAACTCTTCTTAGTTGTGTTTCAACACTCTCAAGATTGATTGATCACACTCTAGGATGATTTAAATGAATGAAATAAGAAGCCTATTTATAGGCATGATTGAGCACACCCTTGTTGACAAGGTGTGTGAAAGAGGAAGGTTGGTGGATGGAAGAAATTCTTCATTTGTGTGCTACAATTTGCATGGAACTTTCATAACTAGCCATTGATGACTTTTGTGTGTTGCATGGAACTTTCATAAACGAGCAATATACTAATAAACATTAAAGACTCTGAATTTCTTCAGATTCAGCGATCAATGTTAAGAAGTTGTAAAGCTCTCAATTTCTGACTACTAAAGTACCATACTGCAACAAAATCACATAAATGGAGAAAAACGTGAGAGCCCTAAATTTTATTTGACTAACACAGAAACTGAACATACAAAGTGGGGAAACGATGAGGAAAGATTTAAACTCTAACTTCTATAATCTTTCTCATGGAACGTGAAAAACATAAGCCAACTACATCCGAATATCAGATGCGAAGAAGCAAGCAAGAAACAGCTAAATCCATGAGAGTTTATAGTAATTGAATTCGAAGCTGAATGAAAAACAATTGAATAATGCTGCGAAAACAAACCTTTACTAAAGCGAATTCGCAGTGAGTGAATCTGAATTCCACCTTAGTGGACTCCCAACATTTCTTAAAGAGAGAAAGAGCTGACGCTATGTGAAATTTCTGCGAGTAGCTTCGACCTTTTTGAGACTGTGTGAAGGAAAATCAAAAATATAATAATGTAGAGGAAAACGGCTTGGCGGGAAATAGGGATTTGTTATACAGTAGTGCCTGCAGTAGACATGGCCAGAATCGGCCCGAAATCGGCCCATATGTGGGGATAATTGAACCGGACCCGAGCTGAATCGGCTCTGGTTTTTGTATTTTTTTTACCCGTCGGTTCCGGGCTAGAAGACGGGTCTGGGTTATTGCCAATTTTTTTTAAAAAAAATATTTCAATGGGCTGAGTCGACCTTTAGATACCCCATGATCAGACTGAATCTGGGTCGTCGGATAAATCTGACCGTTGCAAATCCAAAGGTCATTTTTTTTAAAATTAATTAGCGGGCTAGGCTAAAATCCAGTTCTGGGTCGGACCCATCCATACGGGTCGCATAACGGTCAGAAATTTGAAGATACAAGTTGGATCTTTCGACCATTGAGATTCAACGACTGCCCTCATTCGAACCACCTGACCAGCCGGATTGACCAGGACCCGGTGGGTTNTTCTCAGAGTCGGGTCGACCGTTAGAGACCCCATGTTCAGACTGAATCTGGGCCGTCAGATCAATCTGACCGTTGCAAATACAAAAGTTATTTTTTTTAAAAAAAAAAATTAATTAGTGGGCTGGGCGAAACCCGGTTTTGGGTCGGACCCAGCCCGTACGGGTCGCATAACTGTCAAAAATTTAAAGATACAAGTTTGATCTTTCGACTGTTGAGATCCAACGACCGTCCCTCATCCGAACCACCTGACCCGCCGGATTGACCAGGACCCGGCGAGTTTATTCAGAAAAAAAAATAAAAAATAAAAAAGAAAACTATAAATAACCCCCCACCCCAATTCATTTTTCTTCACCCCATTGTGCTAACAGTCTGTCTTGTCCCTCAATTCAACAATTTTTAAGTTCGGTTTTGAGTATTTGTGCTAACTTTAAAAGAAAATCGGTCCGATTATATATAATTTCAGTTGCAAACTTCTTATTCTATAAATTCAAAATAATAATTTGTTTTTTTTTTCTCAAACGACAATTATATAAATACCCGAAAAACTCATAAGAGTACAACCGATGTGTCAACAAACACCACTGGAACCAGCACAAAGGCTGGACCAACCCCCTTAGGGTTACACAAATGACTATTAGGATACAACTCTCTTAAGGAGAAACACACAACTACAAAAAGAACTCCATAAAGAAGACGAAAACTCCATAAAGGAGACTAGAGCCAGACACAACTGGACTTAACAAAAAAGAAAAAAAAAAGACAAAAGAAAAAAGAAAAAGAACGCACGCCTAATAAATAAAGCGAAGAAAATATGACCTCCCCTAAACATCGCCGACAACCCAAACGACCAGCCAAACCACCAACCAAGCCAAACCCCAAGCCACAAAATGAACAAAGCAGCAAATCTAATTTCCAAACCCAAAAACTGCAGTTAAACAGACCACTTAAACAGATCTGATAAGGAGTAAAATCTCGAACCAGATCTAAGCTACGACAACTTTCAACACCGGGGGAAGGAGGGAGCCGCCACGAGATGCCGGAAGGCTCCAAAAGCAACCCTAGGCCTAGCAGCAAGCAGTTGTGCGGAATCTTCACTAAGGGCGATGGGCTTGAAGGCGCAAAGTCGAGAAATTAGGTAGAACGGCGTCCCCACGGACAAAAGAACATGAATTACTTTCCTTGCCCTTCTTAGGGAGAGGGCAGTCAACATAGTCGTGTCCTTATCGTACAGCTATAGACGCCTCTTCTGCCTTCTGTGTAGGACTTCTCTTGCTCTTCATCCATACGGATTTAGAGGATGAAACACCTGCCAGCTCGACATGGAGCATCTCGCGCTCTTCTGAGGATCCTTTCTGCTACCTCCAATTTCCCAATTAACTCCATCACCGAAAATTGATGAATGTAAATGCCTTAACGCTGATAGAGTTGTTTGAGGTCTAGAGGCAATGAAAAGAGTATGATATCAATCTTGGACGTTTCATCCATGTCAACTCTATGGAATCTCAGCTGATCGAGCTACTCCACTAGCTTAAGGACATGATACCTTACGGGAATTCCCTCGGTCATGGTGATTGACATGACAAAGTCTAAGTTCTTTCTCTAGTTATAGAATTCTAGACCAGGTTTTCTTCTAGAATGACGACAACGGATTGAAAGGCATGTTGGATATAACCTGAGAATCATGAAAAATTTTACTGATTAAACAATTTAATTTAACTTGTTAATATTGATATCCTCAAGACAATATTAACTTTGTTGATAAACGGATTTTAACAACGTAATTAAGGTGTAAAAATAGCAAAAGTTGCAGAAAATAGAATTTTTATTAAGTTTCTTGAAGTCGGTATTATTGTTGAAGAAGTCGGTATCTCCGTACAAGAGGTCGGTTTCACGGATAACCGAGGTGTTTAATGCTCGAATTCAATATGTCGAAAAAAGAACCTTGTATTGAGCTAAATGCAACTATTTATAGTAACATTCTGCACGTCTTTTGAGGAGATTCGGCGACATTTAATGCAGATTGGCAGCATAGGGTTGCCTATGACGTAAGCAAGGCCGTATGCAATGATGAGGGCATGGGTTGCCCATCAGTTGACTGACATGCGTCACTTTTTTTCAGAATGAGGTCGGGCCTGCATGAAGTCGGACCTGCACGATCTCGGCGTTCTGCGATCTATTGATGGGCCGCGCGTACTGAGGTGTTGATCCAATACCGAGGTGACCTCGGGGACAACTCCTTGTATGACGGAACTTCGACATTTAGCCCTAATAGTCTTTACTAATCTTCCTGAGACGTCCTTACTTCGTAGTATCTGAATTTGATATCAACATAGAGGCCCCTGGCATTAAGGAGTACACGAGTTGTGGTGCTTCTTAATGGCAATTTCCCTCCAACTAACCTTTAACCCGAGGTCTTTCCGAGTATTCCGAGGTGATTCCTTTAATCGGAAAAAATGAATATTTTCTTCCCTTCAGCTAATCCTTATTTCGAGATCTGGCGTTGGTTAAGAAACGGTTCTTTAGGTGCAGAGAACGTGTCTCTTCCACTACGCCCCTATATGGCCACGTATGGAATATAACGACTCCACGTCGCAGGGGTCTCCTCGACACATGTCTCCGCATGATTGGGCTACGAACTTTTATGAGAGGGTATCAAAACGTTCCGTCCCAAGGTTGCGACGGTTGCACGCGCCCTTTCATCTCCAACGGTCGGAAAACGTGGTATATATACATACGGGACTTCATTCCACAGAGTCCTCATTCATAATCTTTCCCCGTTCTTCATTTTCCTGAATTCTTCTTTCATCACCTCTTTCTTATTCTCCATCTCTCGCGAGTGTTACACTTGAAGACTCTGGATTTTTCCACAAGAACTCATCCAAATTTTTTGGTGAGCCCTAATTTCACCCTTCTTTTATCTCAATCTCTTTTTCTCTTTCTTCTAATTGTAACGATGGCGGCGGCGAGCAGCGAGCAAGCGGAACCGAGTAGCAGCTGGACCGTATCGGACGAGGTGTTAGACGAGGAATTAATAGGGGAATATTATCGTTGGGACCCTGTTCTGGTTGAGCGCTTGGAGATTCGCCGAATAATTTCGAAGAGGATGCCGAGGTGGAGCGAGAAATCCCCGTCAAAACGGAATATTATAGTCGACCAGCTTGGCGATGGCCCGAAGCCGACGTTCTGTTTTTTGGGGAACCTAGCGTCATGACTGATGCTGACGTTGTCTTGTTGCATGGGTCAATTCGGATCCCCACCTCGGTTAGGATTTTCGCGCCCTATCCGGGGGAGAAGATCCATTGTCCCCCTTCCGGTTGCGTCGGGATTTTTGCTGAGAGTTTGAGGTCGGGTTTGAGGTTTCCACTCGGCAACGTGATCACCGATTATCTGCACGATTGGGGTATTAGCCTCAGTCAAGTCACCCCCAACAGCTGGAAAAAGATTATCAGCCTTATGGTTCTTCTGGCTCAGAAAAAGTGGCCGTTCCCGACGATTGACGAGTTCAGAAGTATTTTCTTTTTTCAAAAGAAGGCGGGAACGTGAGGGTGTCCCTCCAAGATGACTTGAAGATGGGGTAATTGATCACGAGAATTCCCGAAACCCTTCACGACTTTCAAAATGAGTGGTTATGGGTTGGTGGGGATTGGCAATCCCCTGATTTTCTCCTCGAAGCACCTATCAATGGGATGACGATGCCAACCCGAGTTGTTTCTTCCTATCGTAAGTTTTCTCTTTTATACTAGGGATCTCCTGACGAACTATTTTTTCTTCGCTAACAGGTCAGACCTTTTTGTATTTGTAGCCAAAAGAAAGAGGGAGCCCAAGCTTGTTGGTGAATTCCGAGATAGACTTGACGATCTCGCTCGGCTAACCGTCCCCGAACGTAAGTGGAGCTTATTAGTGAAGAATTCGAAACTCGCCGACGTCGGACTCGCAGCAAAGAAGCCCGTTCCCGACTTCGAACCCGGTGAGTTTCTTTTAGATCGACTAAATAAATTTTCTCCTCCCTTTTTTCGTTTATTTTGGGGATTGAGTTGGCTCTCTTTGCGGTTTTTCTGCTACAGTTTATTATCCGTTACTCGGCTTTTTCAGGTTCAAATCCATTCGGGAAGCCAAAGACTAATGACGTCAATTTCCTGCCAAAGAAACCGAGATGGGTCGCATGCTATTCCTAGAGGGAGTGAAGAAGAAAGCGGCCAGCCGTGGCTCAGGGGGTATTGTTGCCGGGGCCACGTTGGGCCCGTTAGTTACTGCTGTTGCACCTGCTCCGGTCGCTGAGCCCGTTTCAGCACTTGCTACGGTGGAGAATGCCGAGTTGGTAGTTACATCTCCCACCGTTTCTACCGAAGTGGGGAAGAAAACTGAGGCAGCCAACCCCGACCTCCACGTCGTCATATAGAGCTCGGAGGAAGCCGATGTGGCCAAAAAGGCCGCGGTGGAATCCTCAACTCGGAAAAAGAAGAGAAAATCGAAGAGGAAGGTCG